ATGTTGGTCCGAAACTGTTTTTATCATTTAAGAAATATCTTCAAACTGCGAAGGTTTGTGTTAAAACATGAACTTGAAATGGTTATCCATGCCTTTATCTCCTGCCATCTAGATTACTGTAACACACTTTTCACATGTTTTAACAAAAAGCCCTTGACCGCCTTCAGTTGGTCCAGAACTCTGCAGCGAGGCTTCTTACTGGAACAAACAGAAGAGCTCACATCACTCCTATTCTAATGTCTCTGCACTGGTTACCCGTTAACTTCAGTTCATTTTAGAATCCTGATTATAACTTTCAATGCTCTACATGGTCAAGCTCCTCCCTATATTACTGAACTGTTAAAGCCTTATGCTCCAACCCGAGTCCTCAGGTCCACACACCAGAACATTCTAGAAGTTCCAAAGACCAGATACAAAAGTCGAGGTGATCACTCCTTCCAGACTGTTGCACCCCAACTCTGGAATGATCTTCCTTTATCCTTATGCAGCACTGACAGTCTGGACACCTTTGAAAAAACAGCTAGAGACCGTTTTATTTAACGTTGCTTTTAACTAAACCTTTTATTTTCTTATTTTTAACTCAAAATTTTAATCTTTCACCTGTTTATGAAAATTTATAATGTTATAACTTTATTTTTTCTGATGTTAATCTGTTTTGAGAGCATTTTGATTTTATGATGTTAATCTATGTATGATTTTCTGACTTTGTTTTATTTTGTTTTGATCTAGATAGATAGATAGATAGATAGATATTTTTATTCGGTCAACAACAACAATTTATCAATTTTACATAAAAGTAATCAAGCAACCGAAAAAAGGAATAGGTTGAAGCCTAGTGGCTTATAATTAGCCTATCCTTAACTCCCACAGACATAATCAAATCCTTAACCAAGGCTGATAGCTAAGATGCATAACATTTAAAGAAAAAACAATGATAAATCAAGAAATCAAATCAACACAAGGTTGGACATCAAACTAAGTTTCTATAACTTTGGAAGATGCAATTTTTTAAAATTTTCTTGAAAAACGACAAAGAATAACACATCTTCAGTTCATCATTAAGTCCATTCCATAACTTCACTCCCAAAACCGACACACATCTATACTTCGCATTAGTTCTCACTTTAGGTATTTCAAACATATAAGACCCCCTCAAATCATATGTTCCATCTCTTAATTTAAACATACTTAAAATACAAATTGGAACATTCTTTTTCACCACTCTATACATCATTTCTAAAGTTTTAAGATATATAATGTCCTTAAATTTTAACATAGCTGATCCTACGAAAAATTGGTTTGTGGACTCCCTATATCCCTATATATCTATGCGAAGCACTTTGTGATTCTATGTCTATGATAAGTGCTACATAAATAAAATTTACTTACTTACTTACACATCCTGAGATCCTTTAAAGCACATATGTCAGACTCAAGGCCCGCGGGCCAGATGCGGCCCGCAGAGCATTTTTATGTGGCCCGCAAGATAAATATAAAAAATATATCAAAACTGGCCCGCTGGCCGATTTTACAGCAAAGACTTCAACTCCCATGATGCTTTGCGGCGTCAGCGCGGAGCCGACGCGCCCCCTCCTTTGTGTTTTTTCCAGCGCCTGCTGCCGGTGTTTGCAGCTCCGCTGTCTCGGACAAACTACACTCCTCTCACTCAGCGCCGAGTTCACTCAGCTATTTTCTGACGCTGAAGCCCAGAAACGGAGATTCTAGCCGCTCAGTAATGTGTTCACGACTGAAAGCGAAACTTTTCCAACTAACGTCCAGACAGAGCTGATATAACTCCAGCGAGCAGCGACACGCTCAAACCAGCACGGCTCTGTGGTTGCTGTTGTGTTTCCTCCCCGACACGCAACAACGTGGTCAAGCTGCTCAGACATGTTCATCAGCACAAACCTATTTGAGCACCTGTTGTCATCTAATGTTGTCATTATTATGATGAAGATAAACAAAACAACAGGAGTCTCCTCCTCAGCTCAGATCAACCCCATGATGCAGGTATCTGGCTGGAACAGGTGAGCATCACAGTAAACCAGTGGAGCAAACTGAGCTTTAAATATGCTGGTTTTCTGCTCGTTTTCTGCTCCAAAACATGAAAGTTAACAGGTGAGATGTAGCATTTTCATTTAATATAAAATTATATTTTTATTTTGTTGTTGGCCCGTGAGAAAAGATTTAAAAGATTGAAAGATTTAAAAGATTTTAAAAATGCTGAATTTACCACAAGTAATGAATACCACTGATGCCTTTTATTTAAAACTGACTTGCTCGTGTGTAATTTGGTTATTACACATTCAGTGTTAATGCAGAAATAAGTTTGTTTCCAAATTTAAAGGTTCAAAATTGCATATATGTTGATAAAGAAAATGTGCAAATTTGCCGTCACTTTTTCAAAAAATATTAAGTTTGGCCCTCGACTCCATCCCAGAGTTTCATTTCGGCCCCGTGTGAGTTTGAGTTTGACACCCCTGCTTTAAAGGAATCTGCTACCATCTTTCCACGGATGACATCCAGCTCATTTTGTTTTTTAGAAAAAACATTTCAAAACGTCTGAACTGTGCCTTTATAAAGATTGGACTAACAGTTTGATATTTAAACTGGAATTATTTTATTCTGTATGTACTCATCTAAACTTTTTAATGCCAAATCTTCCCTGCCATCCATCCATCAGTAACAATTTGCCATGACATTTTTCTCATCCACACAACTAAAGCATCATTACAGAATAATCTATTCCCAAATTTAAAAAAAGGTAACGTCCCACTAGTGTGTGAAATTTGCTCTACGCATTTGACCCATAACCTGTGGAAGCAGTGAGCTTCATACACAGCCATGCTCAGAAGCCATTTGGTTCTCAGTCCAGCTGAGCATCAAGCATGGAGGCATTGGGTCCTATTTTTAAAGTCTTTGGTATGACCAAACTGGGATTTGAACTTTGAACTTCTCTCAGTCCCAGGGTGGACTGCTAGGCCACTGAACTGGAGCATTCTGTGAAATGTCTCAGCTTTTATCTTATTGCTTAAAATATTCTCTAACCTTTCTTTAACAAAGGCTTAACTTGTAGGTGATACTCAAAAAATCTGAATATGGTTCAAAAGTCAATTTATTTCAGTAATTGAACTTACCCCACGTTTCCACGGGAGCCGTCAGCAGCAGGTTACTGCAGCAGCACGTCTTGCTCGCGTAAGCTGCTGCTTGGCCCTTCCCACGAGACGCGAAGCAGCAGGGGAGCAGCTGTCACCGACCGAGCACAAAGTCACACGAGTGACTTCATCAGTAAACACAACAACAAGCAGGAGAAAATTGCAACATGGTTTGTGTTTTATGTTCTGTCCGTTTTATAATCGCCAATACGGACCTGAAAAACAAAGGAGACCGCTAGCTAGGTGACAACTTCTCATGGGGACGCACAGCTAGTAACTTTTTTTAAAAGTAAAGCAACCGGAAAGCAGTAAGTTCTTTATTCTGAAAATCTCGGTAGCTTCTCTCCATTTCCGCGTCCAGTTTCCTCTCTTTCCTTCCCCAAAAATGTCGAACTTGACCCGTTTCAGAGGCGTCGCACGTAGAAAATAGAACCGGCGCGTAAAGGCTGCGACATGCTGCTCCTGAGACGCGGCCGACTCGCGCTGCTGACGGCTGCTGAGGGCTCCAGTGGAAAAGGTTCTGTTGACCACAGCGGTTCCTATCAGCAGCTATGACGTGCTGCTGCAGTAACGTGCTGCTGACGGCTCCCGTGGAAAGCCGGGGTTAGACTAGGAGATCATCTAAAGGCTCAGGACGCCTTTGCAGGTGTTCTGGATCCATGAGCTGATTAGAGTGTGACACTTTGAGTCTAGAATATTGAACCTTTTCACAATATTCTGACCGTCTGAGATTTTGATTGTGGGGTTTTCATAAGATGTAAGCCATAATCATCACAATTATAACAAATAAAGGATTGTATTATCTGGCTTTGCATTTGATGAGTCTATCTCCTGTTAGTCTCACCTTTGAAGTTGAATTACTGACATTAATTATTTTAATTTTTCAAGTTTCACCTGTATGTATAAAAGGTAAGCAATGATCAAAACTAGAAAATAACTCAGAAGTGTGCCTGGTATTGCTCATGGACAAGTTGAAATCAGAACATCGCAACATTTTCCATCCCCCTGCTGTGTGTTTCTCTCTTTTCCTCCTCCAGTTTATCTGTCGCACATCCTCAGCTACTTATTTGCTTTGAAAGCCTGTTGATCCAATACATGAAAGAGATCCCTCAGCAAGCTCAGACAGTGATAGAAAAATAGACACTGTGCTCTGGGCTCTTTTGCTATTGCACTCATTTCTGCTCTCAGTTCTGAATTGATTCAACCTTGGTGACTGCTGAATGTAGAATTAATAAGTTGTTAGTTTAGATTTATAAAAATCAAAGGCCTTGGAGAACACTGACATTTTGGTTCCCCTCATCAGTCTTCCTTTTCTTAATCCATGCAAATAACTGAAAATTAGAACATAACATTCTTCTTCCGGCTCTTGGAGAGTACAGACACTTTTTTCCTCCTCTCCTCCCTATCTTATCCCAAGGCCCTTTGTCCGTCTTTGGGTGTACGGCGCTTCTGCATTTTTTCTGGAAAATGGAAATTATTAAAAATGGATCTGGTCAGCTGGTCTCTCAACGCGATTGACAATTTTTTCAACGATGAGAACGGGAGAAGGGGCTTCCGGATGCCCCTCTGGGACAGAGCCAGTTGGGCATATCATGGACTCCTGGAAACAGTGGAACCTGATCTGCCTATCTCAACTGACTGTAGAAGATTTTGAAGATGTCTGGATGTTCGTGGTGTTGGTGTCAGGTTTCTTGCTTTTTGGCCTGAGAGGTTACCTGGCTTACCGGAAAATTAATGAGCTGTCAAGGAATATTGGCTCAATCCCAGAGCTCAGGGATGAATCACCCCGCGCTGTGAACGCATAAACTCGAGATGAGTCGTAAGCTTGGAACTTTGGCTGAGATTCAGACTCTGGCACAGAAAGTGGATTCGATCAAGGAGAAAGTTGACAGGTCAGCACGGACTGGGATAGATTATTATGCCATAGTTGGATTTAGAGGGGTTGAGGACCTACATAACTTTAAAGGAGCATGGGGCAGGATGAAGAAACGAAACTCATTAGCGGCGCACTCGGCGCTGTGAGTAACTGCAGCCTGGCACGAGAGCGCGCACAAACTCTTCACTAGAAAAAAAAAGTTACAGTGATGTACGGCCAGAGCGCGGCTCGAACAAGGCACCGTGTCTAGCGATGAAGTAACATTGTTACTTTAGTCTAATATTTGTATAATTCCATGACAACATTAGCATTTTAATTTAGCCATGACACTCGTGATGTAAAGCAAGTGCTCCTTCCTATGAAATATTCATAAGCCAGTTTTGTGACTGGCGAGCAAGACAGTAACATGATGCTACTTTATCAGCATAAGAATTTGTGGCTGCAGGTGATTTCTGGTGTTTTTAGACCAATTACAGTTATTATTTTGCACTAAGCTTACTAACAAGCTAATGTTATTGTTTATACATCATGTAAGAACATCCAGTTTCAAGTCACTGACATCATTTGTGAAACCAATTTCATTACAGGACAGGCATCACAACAATGTAAATAAGAACATAAATATCAATGTTTAGTTCAAAAATGCATCAAAATAAAATCATAATATCAACAAGACCTACAGGGTAATAGTCATTTTTCCATTACTGTCATTGATTTTCAGGAATTCACATTGGAAGGAGTGATGGAAGACAGTTCAGATGGAGTGTGCCCGAGCCTGCCACAGACTTTGATGTGTCGTGGGAAAGTCTGAGACCAGGGGCTAAAGGAAAGGGGAGAGGAAAAGGTCGCTCCGAGGGTCGGGGAAGGACACGCTCAAGGGGTGAGGGCAGCAGGTTGAGGTCCAGAACTCCTTCAAGAGGACCAGGGCGCCGGGGTAGGAAGCGAACAGCTTTCAGAGAAGAGGACTGAGACCGGCTTGCACAGCTGAGAGCTGCCAGTATAGCTGAGATGCAGGTTGGTTGTAGCCATTTGTGTAAAAAAATAAAATAAAATAATAGATGCCAAAAACAAAAACATCACTCACTGGAGATATGAATCTAGTCATGTAAACATATGCTCTTTAATTTCTAGACAGCTTTACAACACTTGAGCCAGGAGGAGAGAGATTATATTCTCGAGAGAGTGGTGACCCGTCTTCCAGGGGTGATGCTGGATATCCTGGAGTTTCGGCAAGAGACGCCAGGACACCGTCTTCCTGACTGAGGGCACCCTAACCCAAATATCCAAACCGTTTATCTACAACTACAGTAGTTCCAAAACAGCACAATACCTCAAAATAACTTTAGCTGAAGACAGCATTTTCACCCCAAAATAAACAAACAGTTTGTGCAATATATTTATTTTTATTTATGTACAAAAAAGTTCTGTTATTTGCATTTGTACATAGTATTTTTTCTTAATTTCTAATAAATCTGTGTGCATGAAAGAAGTCATTCCTGTCTTTTGATGCTTCACGTAGCTGGGGCCTTTATGGAGAGAGAACAGCAGCATTAGATCATACATAGATTACATGAGAATGCAGTTCTGGAAACTCTCCAGTTCTGAAGTTGACCTGTAAAAAAAACAAAAGCTACAACTTTATAGATTATTAGGAATCACACTTTTGATAGCCTTTTCACCCACAATTGTCATTTCTATATGTAAATTGTCAGCTTTGATATTGACACTTTAGCTTTTTTGCTTATGAAAATGTTATTAATATACCTAAAGGTCAGATTGGTGACATCCTTCAACCAGCGTCTGTTGAACATGATTCGTTGAAGAGCCTCGTGTGGTGGAGATCATGGTACCGTGAGCTCTTTATCACTGGTCGTTGCATCAAGTGGTCCATGGTCACATTTGCCACGGGTCCATTCATGCTTCCCTGTGACATGGTGAAGCACACCCACCCACATGTCCTAACAGAAAAAATAAGTTTTATTTGAAAACTTTACATGTGACAGAAGCGCTCACCAACAGAAACACGAGAGCTGGCACTATTATGAAAAGAAAGGTAATTATGTCAATGTGCATTGTTGTCTTGTTGTCCAAAAGATGTCACAATACTTACATTAAACATATCACGATGTTGTGCTTTCTGGCAAATGTACCAAAATTGGTTGAAGATGTCCTTCAGCCACACAAGTAGGATGGAAATTCCCTTTAGGATCCCAGCCTGTGAACAAGGATAAAACAACAATTCCATCTTTTAGTTCTTTTTAAAACATAGAAGGGTTTTATTTACCTGCAACGTTTTGTTTGCGGCTGCAAACTTCGTCAGCCTGACAACGTTTTCATAACAGTTCCATTCTGTTATGAAAACAATAAATAAAAGTAGAATTAATATATTGTTTTAAGACTTTGGAGTTTAAAAAAAGAGTGTAGATAAGAATAGGGCTGGGCAATATGGCCTCAAATCTATATTGCGATATAATCTGAAGCATGTGCAGTAACGATATATATTGCGATATATTTTTTCATCTGTTTATAGATGTCAAATTGACATGCTTTTAAATATCCTCATGTGGCAAATATATGCCACTTGAGGCATATAGGCCTCCTCCTCCGCCCACTCCATGCTTGCAGTCACTGCCATTCTGTTGTCCCATTGTCAGCAGGGTGCACATCTTTGTGACGTCATGTGTTATCACAATATCGCCGTATTGCGATATAGCCAAAAACTATCATTACCCAATTTTATATAATTTCTACCTTATATCGTTTATATTGCCCACCCCTAGATAAGAAGACACTGAAACTCACACACTGTTGAGTAAGTTGTTTGCTTGGTCCTCATCAATTTGGACTGCATCCGTAGCTAGATCCATGGATTTGAAACTACAGACAACACAATAATATTTGTTGTACGAAGATAAATACTGGAACTTACCTGAAATGGTACTGATTCTAAAGAGATAAATGTGGAGCCTAATACATCTGTCATTAATTATTTCTGCAAATAACAACAATCTGCTGTGAACTGACACTTCACAACATAAAAAATATATATAATGACCTATATTTGCTTATCTATTGTGTTTTTATCTTTTTTGCACATAGTACAGCAGTAATTTCCTGCGTATATGGCAAGACTTCTCATGAACAAATTTACCTTTTTTCAAAAGGATCCAAATCTAGGTCATCAGCGCCTCAACACCAGCCATTAGAAAATCTTCCCTGTAAAGATAATGTCAGAAGTGTTTGGTGGTGTGATGTTAGTTCTGAACCAAGTGTGGATATGCAAGGTGTAGTTTAATGTATGAAATATCATAGCACAGAAACGTGAATATTTGTTTTACATAAAAGATACTAACCCCTCAGACACAGGTTCAGTTGGAGATAATCGATGCGACATTTTAGCTGCTGTTCTCTTACTGGGTGTCGAGGTTGACTGCACATTACCTCCCTGAATTGCAGTTTCAGGAGCCTGCTTCTTCCGGTAGCTGGAAAACACATTTTTAAACAAAAATGTCAACAAATTGGTTGAGACTCTACACCTTCTGTTTACATAGATCAATAATGGCTAAGCTTCTTTACCTGTGGCACAACTAGTAATATGAAAATGCAGGTCAGTTATAAAAAATTTTATTTATCATTTTTCACAAACATGTTTTATTCTGACCTACATTCAACTGGACAATTTTAGAAAAATAAACACAAACTTCTGCACAACTTTACTTTTAGTCAAACGTGTTGTTATGGCTGACTTATTTATTCTTATGTAGCACAGCAGTAGTGCTAGGGAAATATATTCCGATGGGGTTCTGTTACACAAACCCCACGAATAACATTATCTACTAAAGTAACGGTCCTGCTTAGAGTTTGGACTGTAGATCAAATATGACATAATTCTAAAGACTCATCTTTTTTTTGGAAAATGTCCGTTTTCTTCTACAAACTGAAGCGTGATCGCAGCTAACATGCTAACGCACGCTAGCTTTCTCCGGCTGAGCGGTGACGTCATATAATCAAATCAAGCTCTGTTTACTTTTCTCGTCAGAATAAACGGAGCATCCATTTATCTCCAAATACATGCGGCGTGTCGTCCACAAAACGTAGAAGTGATCCGGTTACTCCTTAGTTGCTTTTAGCTTTTTCAAACTGATCAGGAAGCCATATGCTAAACACCGTTAGCTTAGATAAGTTTCTTGTTCATCTGCACAAAGATTTGGTAGATTACCTAAATCAGCATTATCTAAATCCATAAGTTTTATTTTATTTTCTCAAATTGTGCAGATACCTCTGATATGTTTACCTACTCGTTACTGAAACCTACAGCAGAAATAAGGAGACCAACACTTACCTGGTCACTAGAAAATGCGCCATGTCCGCATCCTTTTTCAGGCCCAAATACAGTTGAAGCAGCCTCCATTCTTCCAGAGCGTAACCAATAGATATTCGGGTCCCTGACCGACTTTTATCATATTTTCTTTTTGACTCTCGAGATGCCGCTGATAAAACCTTCTTCTTTGTGCCACTTTAGTGGGCTTTGAGTTGCGCTTGGTCATTTGCTAGTTGTAGAATCCATTTCCAGGGTTCATCCTCTTCTGTTTGGGGTTTTAACGTGGCTAGTAGTGAAAGACGCGTTACCGCCACCTAGCAAGCTTCCAAATGTTTTTCCGGGTTTGAACCTTGTCGAGAACGCGCTTGAAGCGTCAATTAACGTCATATCCGTAATACAGCGCGGGAAATTCGGATCAGGAATGTTTTGCATTTTGCAGCACAAAGCCTGATTAACAAAATGGATTGATAAACTGGTTTCATCATTCTTTTTAGTTTAAAATGCTTCATCACCCATAAGCTTCTCAAGAATGAACATGTACTTTTTGTTTTTGGACAATTCCTGCCCCATGCTCCTTTAAGACAGAGGAGAAATTATCTGTCTGGCCCCAAAACAAGTTCTTATCTGAATCTGGTGCCCTTGGGCCTGTGAGGCTGAAGTGATTACTCCCCCTCAGAAGAAATGTGGAATGCTGTCATCCCCATGGCAACTCTGTCTCCCTATCCCAGCCTGGGTGGGACTGCGACCGGTGAAGGCCGTTGAATCGTTTCCAGGAGTCACTGTGCTTTCTAAACCCAACTACCTTCCTCCCCTGTCCAAACGGATTTGACGAGCGCTGCTTATCGTGGCTGCATGCACTGACGTTCGGAGAGTCCCCAACCCTACCTCCCCACCTAGTGGACACTTATGTTGTGCAATGTCTGAAGTCTGTTGCATTTCTGTCTGAGGTGTTTTTTGCATAGCAAAGCTGCCCACCCTGTGGAGGGTAACTCTGAAGTGCCTTTTTTTCCTCCACCTGACTCTATCCTCATATATAACCCTCTGATCTCTATTAAGGTAGCGCAACTCGGGTTGCGAATGACTACAGTCACCAATTCTTGTCATGTGTCTATGCCCATGTATGTATGTCTGATCTCAGAATTGTGTGTACTGAAACTCTAATTTCTCTCTGGGATTAATAAAGTATCTTTGAATAAAACAATGTGGACAAGTGCATCTGAAGTGAGAGGTTTTATATAATCTTTGAAATTTCTGCTACCATTACCTTTACATTTTTTACAGAAACAACATGAATCCACTTTGACTTTAACACACTTTAATTTAAGAGAAAAGTATAATGTGAAAGTAGGTAACATCCATCCATTCTCTTCCGCTTATCCAGAGTCGGGTCGCCGGGGCAACAGCCTAAGTCTAGAGGCCCAGACTTCCCTCTCCCCAGCCACTTGGGCCAGCTCTTCTGAGGGAACCCCAAGGCGTTCCCTCAGCCAGGTGAGCCTCATAGTCCCACCAACGTGTCCTGATTCTCCCTTTGGGTCTCCTCCCAGTTGGGCGTGCCTGGAAAACCTCACGAGGGAGGCATCCAGGAGGCATCCTATTCAGATGTCTGAGCCATGTCAACTGGCTCCTCTCCTACAGCAGTAACTCCTTGTCTGGGTTTTTGAATTCAAAAGTCTGACATGATTTAATAACTTTTACAATAATGCAGATACTATGTTTTATTTGGTTTCCTTTGGGGGGCAAAGGTGATTGTGTCTTTGGCAAAACATTTTGCTCTCCTTTCCTGCTGATGGTGGATGGAGGGACTGGTGGCACTCATATACTGCGGCCTCACCTCTGCCAGTGTTCCCCAGGTCAGCTGCGGCTAGAGTGTAGCTCATCACCATCCATTTGTGAATGGACAAATGACTGACTGTAGTGTAGACCCTTGTTTAGAAAATTAATGCTGAACATAAAAAAGTCACGTCAACACACACACACACACACACACACACACACACACACACACACACACACACTTACTTCTGTCTGGAGACTGAACAGTAGAGATGCTCATGCAGCATCTTTCTGAAGGCGTGGGTGAATTTGTTTTCACTTCAGAAAGTAACAGCTGTGAAACAATAAATGAAGTTTATGTCTTTGCCTTGATGCATTTGTTACGTGGCTAAATGGTCTGTCACTCATTTTCTCAAACACCTGCCCCTTCCTGCTGGATTATTTGACAGCTGGGCCTTTTAAGTTTTTGAAATTTCACTAAATAAAATTAAAAAGAAATTAAAAAATGTTCTATCTCGCAGTACAACCATATTATTTTCCAGTAACGTCACAGAAAACACAAATGCGTGTTCTACGCGCACGCGCGCGCGTGTGTGTGTGTGTGTGTGTGTGTGTGCATTGGACTTCCATAATTTACAAGTCCAAAATGTCAGTGAAAAAATGAATTGGCCTCATTTGACAATAAAAAAATAAATGTAATAAATGAATAAAAAATAAAAATAAATGAATATTTTCAGTTTCCTATGTTTTACTTTTATTGAAATCTGTGTGACGAACAAAAGGGTTTACTTTTCACCATCTAATTGACACAACATAACCTTTCATGCACCTTTCATGGCAACACCATCTGGGCTCCCAAAACAACCCTTTGCTCACTTATTGCTCCCCAAAGCAGACACAGACAATCTCTCCCAAGGTCCTGCACTCGCTGCGTAAAAGCCTGGCTGCTGCATTCCTCACAACCTACTCGAAGACTCCATGACTTTACTGCTATAAGGTAAATAATCATAGGTGATGAATGAACAAGATGTTTAAATCAAATGTTTGAATAATCTGTGCTTTAACCATGATTTTTAAATGAATATTGCTTTTACAATAATCCATTTCAGGTCTTATCTACACCAGATTAATATGTGTTTGATTTAACAAGTTAATCAATATCTACACTCATACACATTACAATGAGATACTCATTAAGGTTAATATTCACCTCACATAAGAGTTTTGAACATTTTCATTCACAAAGTGTTAAAAAAATCTTTGTATCTGAAGGAGGGCATGGCTTCCTGAGGGATGTTGGTAAATACTCAAAAATCTGTCAAATTCTGATTTGCCAAACTTGGCCAAAACTCATAACATTGTGGTTTAATAAAACAAGAATGACTTCCCAATTAATTCAGTTTCCAGCTGACTCCCAATTTAGCCAAATCAGGAAAGAAGCCTCGTTTGAAACAATCTCTTTTGACCAGTCAAAAGCCTCTCTGCGACGCTGCAAGCTGACACAGCCAGACGGCTCTTTTAAGAGCCAAGCAAACATCCACCTTAGATGCAATTAAGCATTCCAGCTTCCTGCCTTCACCTCGAGGGATCTCAGACTGGACGGGTCATATAAGAACTATCTACGGGTTCCTGATAGCAGAGGGTCATTCAACCGGCAGTGACCAGCACGACCCCCCAGATCAAACGAGAACCTCCACACAAAGGGTGCGTAGACTTGGCGCGACAGATTGCATCTGATGGCTTTTGTCAATAACCAACTCTCTAGTTTATAACCAAACAACAAATAATTTTACACCCAGAGTTCACAATTTCTCTCAGGTACAAAGAACGGTTGCTACAACCTCTAGCTTCCATCACATCACCTCACATCTATCACATCACATCTCAGTAATATCCATATCTTGTCATGTATGAATTATTAGTTTAGGAAAAATAATTAAATTCATTTTAAAAACTATACCTGACTCAGTCTGAATTAATGTGAAGTGTGTTTATGGTCCCTAAAGAAGCAAAGAACCCTAGAATCTTCTGATTAAACATTCAAAGATCAACCAGGTTGATACCGTATTTCATATGGAATCCTCACACCTTATTGGTCATAAGTAATATGTAGTGTTATATATGTATGTAATATTTCTGGTGCTTTACCAAGACTTCTAAAGATCTGTTTCTGCTGAATTAGATGTGAATAAGATAAAATCATAATTTTACACAACTCTAACCAAATTAAATAAGAATTTAATTTGAACACAGGGTGCAGGTGAGACAACATGTAATCAATAACATACAAAAACATTGCTTTTTGGCAATGATGTTGGCTGAATTTGATATTTTTTTCATTTCCTTTGTTATTTTAAAACCAATTTTAGTTTTTTTTTTTTTTTTTTGTCATCAGTATGTTTTTGCCAGAGTCGTTTTTCCGTCAGCTCCCCAATTTACCTCTCACACCTGCACCAACCCAGCAACTCTCCCCCTAGTCACCTGCCCCTGGATAAATACAAATTTGTTTTGTCAGACTTGTGAGAAAATGTACATCCTTGATGTTCCTGGCAGGTTGTGTATTTAAGAAGGTTAGTTATTTTTTTAATCACTTCACACCAGTCAAACAAATTGAAATCAAATACAAAATAAAATCCCTTGTTTAGGAGGATTTAGAGATTTCACTTTGGTCCTTAAAAGGGAATAGAGAGAAGCTCAAAGCTTTTGCTTGCCCTATTCCATCCCCATATTTCCATTTCCAAAATTCAAATAAACACCTCTACACATACATCATTAACAAAATCAATAAGCAAAATTTGAATCATCACATTTGCAAAACATTCTTATAAACGTTTAAATCTTAAATAAAATCAAAACAAATCATTTGTTAATTAGTAATTTTCCAAGTTTTCTTTTATATAATTTTTTGAATTGTTCAACAGTTTTAAATGTTTTTTAACATTTTCCTGTATGCTATTCCACCAAACCACTCCACGGACTGGTCATACTTTATTGTGTGGTATGTTCACATGGTGTCATGATGCAGTGTAGATGGTGGTGGACCCATGTGTGGTGGAGCTGGACCAGGAGGCAGAAATACCAGATAATACCAGATCAGGTATAAAAAAAAATGGATTTAACGAATAATAGCAGGTAGGATGATACAACAAGAGCAACGTAACAGGGTGAAAACCCAACAATTATCTGACAAAGGACAAGTGCAAAACAGGGGGTATAAATACACAAGGATAATCAGAAACACATGGGTAGGATAACAAGGCGCAGGTGAGTCCAATAAACAACTAATTAAGAGTAAATGAGACCAAGGCCTAGTCCACACGTAGCCAGGTTTTTAAAAAAAATGAATATCCTAGCCTCCAAAAACTTGCATCCACACCACCTCGTTTAAAACAAAAACTCTGTCCACACGTACCCGGATAAATACGTTGTTAAGGACATGCCAGACCTGTAGGCGGCAGTACTTGGAGAAGCCAGGTGCCAGGCAATAGCCGTTCTTAAACACATCCTTCGTCTGTGGTCTTCCGCAAGGAGCAGTAATTCCGCTTGCTAAAACAAACATGCAAAAAGCGCTTGGACAATTGATAAAGCGAGCGCAGCTCTGAGGGCATCCA